AGGGCCTGTTCCCGGGAAGACCCCCGGCTATTGCCGGGACTCAGTGCTCGAAGCCACGTTCCTTACAACGGGAGCCCTCCCTTGATCTTCGGCGACCCGCCCCCCCAGGCATGGACCACGCCTCTGACCCAGGGGTCGAGCTTGGGGCCTGGGACTGGCCGCGTGCGAGCTCCAGGCCCTCTCCCTGGGTCCCCGCCTCTTGGCCCCAACTCTGAGCAGCAGTGCCACCGCCTTAGTGGCACGGGAAGCAGCCCAGCTCCCTGCCCCTGAGAGACAGAGAAGCAAAGGCAGTACCATGACAGGCTCACAACGAAGCCAGAAGCAGCTCGGCCTAGGTTTCGGTTCCAGAATTCCTGAATTGAGCGGCCACCTGGAACTGAGTCATGATTTCCCAGAAGTGAGATTGCTGGAGGTTTGGGTCTGTGAATCAGCTTCTCTTTAGGGGAGTGGTTTCTGTAGGATGTGAAACCCGCTCCTTGTCATGCAAAGCAGGCAGGGCCCTGGTGAGGTCAACTAAGGGTTACAACCCCCCCCTCTTATGCAACCCTTATGTTATTCCAACTTATAACCAATCGGCTAAGTACAAGTAGTGGAAAGGCCCTCAGACTTTGGCCAAAAGGGTGGTCCATGGAAAGACTCTGTTATATGTCATGGTATTAAAGCCTCTCACTTTTGAAACTTGGGGTCCTTCATTCCATTGTGTCCATGAGCCGAACAAGGGCCTTAGCTCAAACTAGCCAATAAAGACCTTTTGTTTATGGCATCGAAGCTTGTCTTTGTGTGATTCCTCTAGGAAGAAGGTTTAACCTTCTGTGGGCTCTTCATCTGTCTCCAGGCCCTCTTGTGGGCTGCGTCCTTTCCCCCTTCATGAGGGGATGGAGAACTGCATGGCAGCTCTGTCTTGCATGGACTGGCCTGCTGGGAAGGGATTGGTTGGAAGCCATGCACCAAATGGAGTTTAGTCTGCCCTCTGACCGGTGTTTCATGGTAAATAATAAATGCCAGTTCAGAGTTACATAACTTTAAACATAGAAAACCCGGCAGCGCTGAGTGGGAGAAGACGGGGGCACAGCCCCCTAATGGGAAATAACGCCTGTCTTGCTCACGGCTGGGAAAGTGACCTCGCTATTAGAGGGTTCAGCGACCAGTTGAAGGGAATCCAGCATGTTACCAAAACATACCACTTAGGCATGTGGATGTTTGGGAAAGGAAGGTTCTGAGAAGCGTTGGGTCTCACCAAATCTCCCCGTACCCCCCACCAGCACCAGAAACCAGACTGGCGTCCACTGTGGGTGAGCAAGCTTTATTAGAAATGTCTGGGGGCAGGCACCCTGAGAGGAGGGCAATGTGCTAGGGGAAACCGGATGATCTCTTTATATAGGAGGGAAGGGTGGGGGCCTTTTACACTTCACTAGGGCTTTAACGGTTCCAGAATCTTTCCTTCCTCTTTTTCTCAGGAATAAAATTGTTTGCCACAATTTTTTTCCTGCTTTTTTGGGTCACACCTGGTGATGCACAAGGGTTACTCCTGGCTCATGCACTCAGGAATTCCTCCTGGCGGGGCTTGGGGGACCTTACGGGATTCTGGGAATCGAACCCGGGTTAGTTGCGTTTAAAGCCCTACCTGCTGTACTATCTCTCCAGTCCATTTGCCACATTATTCCGACACATGTGGCAGAGTCCTGCAGCTACCTGGTGGTTTCACCTTACAGTCTCCCAGTCTCCAACATGGAAAGTGCCTTAAGGCTAGAAGGACCGAAAGTTGCATTGTTCCAGGACCGGCCACAGGACAGAGCCGGGGACGCCTGAGCCTCATCACACTTACAAACAGCAGAATCTTCTCCCCTTGACAGTCTGCCCACTCAGGCCCATGCTGTCTGGTCAGTTCTTTGATGATCAGAAGGGCAATTTCTTTGTCTAGGACACTTCATGCTGGGTCACTCCACATCATAGGGCTATAAACTTATCAAATATAAAAGTTGATGTTTTATATTTTCTTCTGCTAATAGATCTGATACCAACTAAATTCTTCGACCAGCCAGAGAATCTAGAAAGAATGAAGGGAACCTTTCCCTCTCCTATCCTGTTAGTCTTCATTTCCAAAGGTTTGTGATCTTCCGTTTACGTGTGTGAAATCTCAAGTTCTGCCTATCATCTTCTTATTCTAGTTACACAGATTGAGAGCCCATATAACATACGACTAGGCAGAGTGAACGTGATATCCAGATATGCTTATTGTATATTCTCACATACACACTAGGGATTAATGGCATGATTTAAGAAATATCTGCTAGCCTTGTATAATCTACATTTTACAGAGCAATGGCCTCAAGTAAAGTTCTTGTAGGGCACTTCAGATGGGAAATGGAGGCTCTGAGCTGGGGAGAAGGGAGTAAGGGTCTCTAATGGTCTCGTGTCCTGAGGCTGGCCATACCCACATAATCTCTCACTACACACCAGACCCAACTCCACTGTCAACAACAGCTTCACAATACAAGGTAACTGAGAATAGCAGGTCCTCTTAATTCACAGGAAATTCTAAAATTTGTGTGCCACGCCGGCTACAGCGTCGCCCGCGTAGCAACATGCTGCAAGGGGGCTCAGGCAAGGGCCTGGGTCCCTGGGAATGGGAGGTTCGCGGCCCACGGGTCTATGCCTCCGGTAGCCCCCCTTTTTCTGTTTTCTAGGCGCCTCTGACATGCAGTCTTCACTTGCCATTCTGTGGGAACAGGAGCCTGCCTGTTAGTTAATTTTGATGATTAATAATATAGTTTGTAATAAGACATTTTGATTTAACTTTTGGTCTTGGAAATATGCTTGCTAGTAGAGTTAATATTAGTTTTTGTAAAGTCCTGATTTTTATATGCTTGCTAGTAGAGTTAATATTAGCTTTTGTAAAGTCCTGATATTTTTTTAGTTTATGGGTAGGCGTTTTTAGGGAAGTAAAAACTTACATGTCAGTAAAAGTAGACAATAAAGGAATTATAAGGAACATAATATTTCTTTTTTTTTTTTAATTTATTTATTGAATCACTGTGGGAAAGGTTACAAAGCTTTCAGGTTTATGTCTCAGTCATGCAAATATCAAACACATTTCCCTTTACCAATACTTATTTTTTCCCATGAAGAACCCCAATAAAACCCCACCCCCCACCCCTCCCCGTCCCTGTGAGGCAGATGAATTCTAGTTAACACTCTATCCGCTTTGATTAGATTGTTTCAATAAAAGATTCGCCACTATTATTTAGAGTTTACCCCCCCCCCCAAATCAGACATGCTGAAAAAGCATTGTGAAGTGATTTGCTTTCTACAGCTGGGTTCAAGAATTAAATGTTGGTTTTGGATTTCTGCTATTTTACCTATTGACCCTGGAAGTATTTCTACTGAAAGTCAGATAGTTAAGAAATTGGTTTCTGTGTTCTGGAGTCGTGGCCGTGCTGGAGAGCCGCTCGTGGGGGGCAACTGGTGGCCTCGGTAGGGCGTGAAGGGCGGAGCGAAACACCCCCCTTCCCATGAGGTTTTAGTCGCCCCCACACTCCCGGCTCATACCTGCTGTCCACAAGGCTCCCATGTGGCCGCCATCTTTCTTTCCAGAGAGGAGAGGGCGAATGGGGCAACACCCTTTCCCCTCCGGCAGACTTGATGGGCTAGATCAACGCATAGTCCATTCACTTTTCTGCTCCAAGCTGCTGGGTTCTGCATTAAGTCCTTGTGCTTCTGGGGCCATGGCCGTGCTGGAGAGCCGCTCGCGGGGGGAAGGAACATAATATTTCACCCAGATATTTTATTGGGACAAGCGGATCTTCTGCCCTAATCTTAAAGTGGAACGTGTACGTGCCCCTTGATGTTTTGGGAACATGACCCATGGTCTGATGTAATGTGTGCCTTGCCACGTTGTTTCTGTAACTGTATAAGAAGAACAACTCTGGATGCAATAAACCGCAGCAGTACTCAGCCTCTCTTGTGTTGGTGTCTGTCTGTCCAACGCGCCGAATCTCCTGCTTTCCTGTGCACCTTCGCCTGGTCTCCCCTCAGCCTGGTGGTCTTCGACTGAGCCAGTCTGCGGCACTTGTGTCTTCCAAAATAAACAAAAATAAGAACATTTCGTTTTCCTTAGCATGAGATAGGAATGGTGCTTTTGTTCATACTCGATCTCATCTGTCAATTGCCATGCCTGGCTATAAATACCTGCCACAACAAGGGCACCTTCAATCCTGATGAGGGCTATTTCCAAACCACGACTCTGGATGCTGGTTCCCTGAAGCTACTGGAAAGACTTTTCCTTGAGTTCTTATCTGTCCCCAAAGTGTATTTTGACAGAAGGTTCTGGAAGGGTCCATCTTTGTCTGGGATTAGTCTCTGCCAAGTATCCTGGGATTCTGAATAGCTTTTTAGAAAGAGGCTCTGATAATAGTGTGGGTAGTCCCAAAGGTGTCCCCAGACTAGGAGAGGTGTGTGTGTTCTGGACCTCTCACATTTATTATCTAAGGACACATGATCTTCATTCCTGAGGTGGCATGCTGTGACATCCACAAGCACCCTAAGAGGTGTCCGGATTGGCCACTTTGCCTTGTTTGAAATCGCGTACACCTGCTTGAGACCTTCTCTTCATCTGAGTATCAGTGGGAGCAGCAGTTTGAACAAGTGTCACAAGTGTTCTCTTCTCACTTGCTCTTGGCCTTCCCATCGGGATGTCCCCCACAGCCTGGCACTGTCACCCCCCAGTGTTCTCTTGCTTGGTTTGCAGCCAGTGACAGGCTTTATCCTACTTCTCTTCCACAGTGCTTCGAGTTTTCACAGGGCCCCTTCCTCTACATGGATCATGTCCCTTAAGCAGACCAGCCCAGTGCCCAGGTCTGTGGCTCCAATGGGCCAGTGGTGTATCTCAGGCTGCACCAAGAAGGGAAGAGTCGCTTGCAGCCTGTATTCATTCAGCTCCAGGAGAAAGATGGTTTTACATTTTTTTTTGGGGGGGGGTTGTTTTTTTTTTCACAAGAAGAATCAGATGGGAGCAATTAAGTGTGTTGCAAGCCCCAATCACACAGAGACATTAACCACGAATCATGTGAACTCCGTCATGTCCTACCTGCCCTCTGAGTAGAGGAACATGTAAAGATTATCCCACCTGACAGTTGGTTTTACACTTTTAAAGGACTGAGAAGTCATACAATGAGCATACACTGCTTCATGACAGTGAAATTGCAAGAAATCCAAATGTTGGCTGCATCATTCACAAAGCACAGGGACAGTGGAGTAGAAAAGTTACTGACCAAAATGCAACTGAAGTTGGAGAGACTGATGTAGAGCAGCTCCAAAGAAGGAAGTGGGGCCTGGCCATATGCCGGGTGGACATGGGTCGCCTACTGGCTCCACAGGTTTGGCGGTTTTTCACAGAACTCGTACATTAGGGTGATGTGAGCATGCAGCGTTGAACATACAACCAATACAGGTCACATGTATAGAGAACAGCTGTGTCACATAATAGGACAGGTTTTTGGTGTCATGAGAGTGTCAGGTCAAGGGCACTGTGTCCAGTGAGCAGTACCTTCCAGCTGGGGGTTGGGTCCTTACCAGCAGAAATATATGTCAGGCTCTGTCCTGGCACAGTCAGAGGCAAAAGAATGTCACTGTGTGGCTGCTCCCCTGGAGAGTTATCACCCATCCACCCCAGCCCCAGCTCCCCAACTCCGAACAACCTCGGTCATCTTGTTCTTGCTTTGCAGTGCCAGCGATGGAACATAGGGCTTCACACGTGTGAGGCGAGTGCATACTCTTTGGCTGCGTGGCTTTCTTGTTCCTGTTTTCAATTTCCCCAAGTTTCTTGGGGAAAGTTAAGGGGCACAAAGTCCTGATGATCCCATCACAGCTGGGACAAATCACTGCCATGGACCTACAAGCTGTGAAGCTGCGGCCCATAAGACTGAGGTATTCCTTACAGGACCCATCTGCCAGCCCCTGTTCTCCAACCACGGCTCCCACCTGCCAGTGAGGTCACTCCAAACTGGCTGCGGTGCCTAAGAGACCCTTTGGACGATCTCTATTCCCAGACAGCTGGACTCCGTGGTAGCACTGACCAGCCTTTCCCAAGAGTCCCTTGGGCAGAGCTGAGAGGCAGGCACAGCCCACAGGGCATGGCAAGAACTGCTCGGTGACCTGTGATCTGCCAGCTGTGTGCAGGTGTCCTGTCTTGCCAGAGCTGCATCAGCTGCTCTGCAGAGCCCCAGGCCGTGGCAGCTGCAGACCTCCCAAGGGCGGCCAAGCCCCGGCCCACCCTTCACTTCACTGGTCCAGTCGAGCTCTCGGCCCGAGCCCCTGCGGCCCTCTGCTGCTCAGTGCGGGCCCTCGGAGCAGCAGCCCAGCTCGGACACGGCCCAGCGCTGCAGCCGGGCGGCCTGAAACCCACCTTCGTCCACCTCCTGCCCCGAAGCCCCGCTCGCTCCGGCGGGGGCACTGACAGGCGGCGGGGCGCTGCCTCCTCCTCTCCCCGGTCCCCGAGGCGCGCGGGACTCAAATCCAAGACGCGGGAAAACTTGCTTTCCGGCACCCCCGATTCTTGGTACGATCTCGGCGACCCTCGTTGCCTCCCACCTCTCCCCCTTCGCCCCCCGAAACGGAGCCCTGCGACTGGCGGCTACCGGGCCCCCAACGGTGCAGCTGCTTCTTCTCTCCGGCTTCGCGGCGGCCGGAGGGCGGGCTGAGGGGTCGAGCAGCGAGGGGGTGGGTGCGGGGGGACGGAGAGCGCCCACGGCCGCCCCTCTCACCGCCGACGCCTCCGGAGGGCTCCGCGCCGCCCCGCGCCCGCGCATGCGTCGAGCGCGCCGCCCGCAGGCCCCGCCCCGCGGGCGCGGGCGTGACGTCACGCGTGTGCGCCGAGCGCTCCAGCGCCCGCAGGCCCGGCCCCGCCCGGCCCCGCCGGCGCAGCCGTGACGTCACGCGAGCGCGCCGCCCGCGGGTCCCGCCCCGCCAGGGCGGCATGACGTCACGCGCGTGCGCCGGCGCGGCCGTGGCGTCACGCGTGTGCGCCGCGCACGGGAGGCGGCCGGAGCGGTGGCCGCGGCCGTTATGGGGCCGCGCCGGAGGATGGCGAGCGTGGACGCGGTGTCGGGCGCCCGGGTCAGCCCGCTGCTGGACAAGTGAGTGCGCCGCGCCGCCCGGACGCGCTCGGGGGGCCTGGCGGGGCCCAGGGGCGGCAGGAGACCCTCCCCCCGGCCCGGGCCTGTCCCGCGTGCGACCACTCGGGCGCCCCTCGCCAGACCCCCGGCCCCGGTCCCGCTTGGGCGCCCCTCGGGAGCCGCTGAGGATGGAGCCGGGGCCGGCCCGGAGCAGGGGCGGGGTCCTCCCGCCGGCCCCTGCTGACCAGCCCTGGCTCCACTGGCCCTCGCTGACCAGTCCTGGCTCCGCCAGCCCCTGCTGACCAGCCCTGGCTCTGCCGGCCCCTGCTGGCCAGCCCTGGCTCCACTGACCCTTGCTGACCAGCCCTGGCTCTGCCAGCTCCTGCTGACCAGCCCTGGCTCTGCCGGCCCCTGCTGACCAGCCCTGGCTCCACTGACCCCTGCTGCCCATCCTGGTCCACTGGCCCCTGCTGACCTGCCCTGGCTCTGCCGGCCCCTGCTGACCAGCCCTGGCTCCACTGACCCTTGCTGACCAGCCCTGGCTCTGCCAGCCCCTGCTGACCAGCCCTGGCTCTGCCGGCCTCTGCTGGCCAACCCTGGCTCTGCCGGCCCCTGCTGACAAGCCCTGGCTCTGCCGGCCCCTGCTGACCAGCCCTGGCTCCACCAGCCCCTGCTGACCACCCCTGGCTCGTCTGACCCTTGCTGACCAGCCCTGGCTCCGCCGGCCTTTGCTGACCAGCTCTGTGATTCCTCTCCCTGCCAGCGCCCGCATAGCACTGTCAGGGCGCGGGCGTCCGCAGCCTGGACGTTGTCTGCGCAGCTGACCAAAGGGGCTTTTTGTCTGGGCCACGTCCTGACTAGCGCTCTGCTCTGGAGTGACCCCGACTGTGCTGGGGGGACCGTATGCCATGCAGAGGCCTATCTCTCTGGACTCAAGAGTTTCTGATTTCTTTCCCCTTTTGTTGACCATCCTTATTCTCTGATTGTGTGTCTTGTACACACCCTACGAGCTCTGCTCTTTGCCTCCGCTGTCTTCAGCATGGTCCCGGCTAGTTCCATGCAAGTTGCAGTGATTTTTAAGGGCTTCGTATTTTATGAGTTTTTACATTTATTTTAGTGCATCATTTTAGTAATTCTAGAGTTGAGTTTATAAATTTTACACTCCCCTAACAGGGTTTGAGACCTGTTTTTTTCTATACCCCTTCCCCCTCCAGGAATGTTTACTGTAGACCCCAGGATTAACAAAGGTGTTCATAATAGAGTTGCTACAGGCGTAACATGTTCCAACACCAATCCCATCACCAGCACCCCTTTCCCTCCACCAGCATCTCCATGTCGGTGTCTTTTGCAGTGGATTTTCCAATAAAATTCACATCTATCAAAAAGGTTATTAGAAACCACCAAGCAGTCAATACGTCATCTGAATAAAGATAGGTAACGTCGATAGTAGAGTGCATTCCTCAGATATATGAGGCCTTCAGCTAAATTCCTGGTTATAATATCCAAAAAATAGTAATTATAGGCTTTGGAAAGATTGGATCAGTTTCCTTTTTATCCTTTCTAGGACATCAGTAGTATGTATGAATAATTTAAATTTGTCAACACTAATCGTTTAACCACGTACCTCATCCTGTATTGTAAAATGCAACTTGAACCAGGCAGATGGCTCACAGGGCTGGCAGATGTGCTTAGCATGTGGGAATCTTGGATTTGATCCCGAGTTCTGCATGGTTCTCTGAGTACCACCAAGTATGGCCCAGAATCAAAATATTTTCATCCCTCTTTGAGGCACATTTTTTAAAATTTTTATTTACTTATTTATTTATTTATTTATTTGCTTTTTGGGTCACACCCAGCGATGCACAGGGGTTACTCCTGGTTCATGCACTCAGGAATTACTCCTGGCCGTGCTTGGGGGGCCATATGGGATGCTGAGAATCGAACCCGGGTTGGCCGCGTGCAAGGCAAACGCCCTACCCGTTGTGCTATCACTCCAGCCCCTTTGAGGCACATTTTAGATTTGCTACTCAAACTTGTACCTGAGATTATTTTGGGAGCAGAGCGTAGACTTCTGAAGCTGGTGGGCTGTAAGCCTTTCACTGTAGCATCAGTGCCTTGTAGTTTTGAAGCACACTGTCATTCCTTAGGATAGAATTAATGGGTACAGCAGTGAGCAGGGAATATCCAGGTGAGCTGACCTCAGTGTGGCACACATGTGGAAGCAAAAGTCAGAAGCTGTTTGGTCACTCCCCAGCACTGTTTCCCAGCCCAGTGTTGTTTGGTGTAGTCCAGGGAGCCCCCAAGCATCTCCAGCCGGAGCACCTACCCCAGCCCAGGCTGAGGATTGATAGGAATGGCCTTACCACAAAACAAAACACGGCGCGGTGAGGGCTGGAGAGATTGTACTGGGCTTCAGTGCTTGCTTTGCACGCTCTCGACCCCCATGCAATCTGGGCACCACCAGGAGTGACTCCTAAATACTACTGAGTGCGTCCTTACAAAAAAAGTCTAGGTTAGGGCTGGAGAGAGAGTACAGCAAGTAGGATGCTTGCCTGGCATGCAGCCGACCCAGGTCGGCTCCCCAATGGCTCCCTAATGGCTCCCCAAACACCACCAGGAGTGAGTTCTGAGTGCAAACCCAAGAGTTACCTCTGAGCACTGCTGACTGTGGCTGCAAACCAAAAAGCTAGGTTATAATTTTAGGGTCTGAAGAGTTAAGAGTCACGTTGATGTCTCCGGCGACTCAGCAGTCATGGCCATAAGCCACCTCTGGCTGGTGCCAGATAATCTTGTCATCGGCCACCATCCAGGTCGCATGTCCTTTTCTCCGGGAAGAGAGCATAACATAACACTCGCCATAACCATGCCACCGGACCCCGTGCCAGGCTGTTTCACTCAGGGCACCCCAGAATGGGGTGGGTGAGACCACTCCCTGCCCCAAGGGACCCAGCCCTGGCAGCTGAAAACCCAGAACCACTGCCATTCTCACAGCTGCTCTGCACACGCTCGGGCCGAGCCTCACCCACAAGTAAACCTATTCCTGGGTCACTAGGCCGAATTTGACACTTCATAGGATACCCCCTACCCATACTCCAAGAGGACCCAACTACATTTGATGGGATACAAAGTAGGAGGCACCCAACCTTCGAGGGAAATGCTATATTATTTAAGCTTTGGGGCAGGGATTAGGGTACAGAATGGAAATGTGGTGGGAAGGTGTATGGTGGTGGGATTGGTGTTTGAATATTAAATGTAATCAAATATTGTAAACTATGAAATAAAATTTTCTTTTAAAAAAGTCACTTTGACATAATTATTTCCTGTCCTGAAAACATAAATACTAGGAATGAGCAGTGAGATTATGATGTTACAGTTTTAATATGGTAAGGATGTGGGTTATGTTGTTTTGCGGGGAGGTTGGGGTTTAGTTTGTTTTTGAGCCACACCCACTGGTGCTCAGGGGCTAGTTTTTATCCTGAGCTTGTGCTGGACTGGGTTGGAAGTAAGGTTTGCTCCTGGCGTGCTCAGGGGTGGGGGAGAGTGGAGGAGATTTCCAAGACACTCGGGGGACCGTGCAGCACCAGGGATGAACCCCAGAGTCCCATGTGCTCGGCTCTCGAGCTCTCTGCAGTTCAGGGTGTTTTTTCTAAGCATTTGTGTTGGCTGCTATGATTGTTACGGTAACTATAGAGAAGGTGAAAAGATTTGCTTTTTCAGTTGGAGTTGCACCAATTTTTTGGGTTCCAAGATGAATTATTTCTATTTAGAAGATGTGTATATGGAGCACAAATGAACATTCCTTGCATACTTTATTGGTAAATATAAGTTACAAATTTCTGTTATAGGATTCATGTTTCTGTTTTTGTTTTTTGCTTTTTGGGTCACACCTGGCGATGCACAGGGGTTACTCCTGGCTCTGCACTCAGGAGTTACTCCTGACGGTGCTCAGGGGACCCTATGGAATGCTGGGAATTGAACCCACGCCAGCCGCGTGCAAGGCAAATGCCCTACCCGCTGTGCTATCTCTCCAGCCCCCAGGATTCATGTTTTATTACTCTGAGGTAGCAGTAAATGGGCACCAAAATGAGTCAGGGGTTAAGTGATAGGGGTTTTTTGTTTGTTTGTTTGTTTGTTTTGCTTTTTTTGGGGTCACACCTGGCGATGCATAGGGGTTACTGCTGGCTCTGACCTCAGGAATTACTCCTGGCAGTGCTCAGGGGACCATATGGGATGCCGGGAATCGAACCTGCGTCAGCCATATGCAAGGCAAACGCCCTACCTGCTGTGCTATTGCTCCAGCCCCTAAGTGATAGAATTAGGAGGGCTAATGAGTAGAAGCCAGCACAAGAGCATTTCTCACATAAATGATTTTATGCTGTATTGTGCTATGTGCGTTGTCCTGTTTTTGTAGGCATTAACATGTAAACAGTAGAGGCAGGGCCAATGATCAGTCGTATCAGAGTGTGGTGACATCAGAGCCTGAGTAGCACACACTCAGGTGTGTTTTCGAGGAAGCTGATCTGGTAGGTCTTGCTCCAGCCATCATGGTGCTGTGATTGTGAGCAGTGTTTGGAGCATGTGACCTCAAACCACAGTTCTGCATGAGTTCATTTGTGGTTTGAATTTGCTGAGCAAGAAATATGAAGCTTACAGTAGCTACTACGGGACTGTAGCTAATTAACTCTGGGGTGTTCGATAAGGAAGGCTGCAGGTCTTGGTGCCTGTGACCGATGGAAGAGATGAGAGTGATTTTAAGTCTTTGGGTGTGCCAAAGAAGTGCTTAGGGTTATTACCTTCGGGCCAGGATAAGGAGATGGCCGGCTCTGTAATGTTAGTGGCTTTGCTAATCATGGCTCACACTATGGACGGCCGCAGAATCTAGCTGGAGCTGCTGTGCTGAGGACCCACAGGGCTTTGGGTGGTCAAAGGTGTAGGTTGTAGAGAACTTCACTGTGAATTCTGCACATTCTAGTCCTAGGATCTAACAGTTTTGTGCAGCACATGAAGACCTTTTGCTATGA